AGTCTAATCCTGTTGTTTTTTCCAAAGTTTACTATTCCATTTAACTAGAAAACTTTCACATTACATTTTTGTCTTATTACTTTATCTAATCATTTACCCCTTTGGAGAATATCATTCCTATATTATAATTTGACCACAAATATAGGCTAAAATTGCAATATGTTCATACTTGCATCCTATTATAGTAACTCAGAGATATTCCAGTATCAAACTATTATTTAAAAGATTTAGTATTGTACTCACAAAACTTCTTCATTACAGAAATTTGCTATAAAAGGAAAAAGAGGGACATAGTTATAGTAATGTCCTATATCATAACAGAGGGGAAAACTGCCTTGCCTCTGTTTGATTCCAGGCATGAGTCATATCTGACTCATATAATGTAGTCACAACTGTTACAGGCAAGGCTTAGGATTGACCAGGTGAGGAATTTTCCTTTTCAGAAAGGAAACAACACAATGGGGAAATAGAGTCAGGGGGATCCTATATAGTCCATGTCTGAGGTCATCCCCAAAACCTCTCCCAGGCATAGACGTGAACCTTTATCCAGTTTTCAGACTGCTTCACATTCCTCACATGCCATTTCTACTCTTGGCTTCGTGACATATAGATATATGACATCATATAACTATCCCTATAATCAAAGCTCAAAACAATAGTAAATTACAGTCCCAGAATTTTTTTTACCTTAAATAATAAAATTTCACTAACCACAACTTAGGGTTTGAATGTCTTTCTTAATGTTTCCCTAACAGTTTCATTAATCTTTTACTTATAAATTAAAGCTACCCATATTCTGGGGCTTCAGACATATAGCAAACACCTAATAGTTGACACATCATTAATATGTTGAAGCTACATCTTTAAACCACCTCATACACTTTCATAATTGACAAGATTTTCAAAAGAAAATTTGCTATTATAGTAAATATTATCAGTAGTAGTAGTATTACCTGTTTTATAACTAAAATACCTTGTTAAATATGTAACAGTTTTCAGTTATATATTTTTTAATCACATCCTTTTAAAAGCCCAATTCATAATATAATAGCATCCATATTAAAAGGGAAGTTTTGTCTAACAGCATTTCTGTTACAATGATCTCTCAAATTTCACAATGTAAGAGAATTTAGAAATATGATACAATTTAGAAACACAACAATAACATAAACAGTATCATGTATTTAAAACATGAAACAAAACTTCAGATGACATCAACAGCATTTCCAAATTATCACATATAAAAATCATTGATCTTATTACCTTTGGCATTTAAAAACCACTTTAGAGTTATCAGGCATGAAACAATTACATTCAATTAAAGAAATAATAATTACAAATCAGGAAACTGGAGCAGAGATAAGATAACTTGCCTAACATTACACAGCTAATAAGTTTCTGCAACTGAAAGTGAGAAGGGTGTGCTTACCAAGGGCACAGGCAGGCTGGCTGGCTCCCCCACCTTTTACTGCCATTCTAGGTGCTGCCAGGGGCATCTGGACCCTCCTAGGCAGTATCCAAGTGGGACCTGCTGAGGGCTGAGGGATTTGGGTGGCTGGTGCCAGGACCTTCTCTTTGGTAGTAGTTCCTGGTGGCAGGGCAAGGTGAATGCTGGCTGTGGGGTCTGACCCCTCTTCCTCCCCCAACAGCTGCAGGTGCTGGGACCACTTGCAGCTGCTGGGGCAGGGTGGGCAGGATGTACTGTTTCCCTATAATTCTCCAGCATTCTCTTTTCTTAATCTGATCTGAGAAGAGAGGGTTAACAGGATAAAAGGGAGAGGGTCTCTGAGCTGGGGAGGGGGAGGTTAATAAGAGGTGGTCTTAAAGTGCCAATCATTTAACCATTTTTTTTCTTCACTTTTTTCATTCTGGAATTCTACCAACTAGCTTTCCTTCATTGTCCTAGAACAATGAAACTATTAAGCTTGCCGATTACTTTTTAAAAACTTTTAAAAATGTTTATAAGATTTAATCCTTATTTTTCCTTAAAACAAATTCTATAGAGTGGGACCCCAAAACTTGCTAAGATATTTCAGAAGGGAGTGAGTTTCTGTAATTACTTGGAAGTCTCAAGAGTTCTTTCCTGCAATCTTCTTTTTTCTTCTTTTTTTAAAATTAATTTATTTTTAGTTATCAACATTCACTTCCATAACTTTTGAGTTTTACATTTTCTCCCCCTCCCTCCCCAAGACGGTGTGCAATCTGATATAGGCTATACATATACATTCTTATTAAACATATTTTCACATTAGTCATGTTGTAAGGAAGGATTAGAACCAATAGGAAGAACCACAAGCAAGAAGAAACAAAACAGAAGAAAAAAAAGCAAATGGGATACTTCAATCTGCATTCAAACTCCATAGTTCTCTCTCTGGATGTGGATGGCATTTTCTATCATGAAACTTTTGGACTTGTCTTAGATCCTTGCATTGCTGAGAAGAGCTAAGTCTATCAAAGTTAGTCATCACACAACGTGGCTGTTACTGTGTGCAACGTTCTCCTGGTTTTGCTCACTTCACTCAGCATCAATCCATACAAGTCTTTCCAGGTTTTTCTGAAGTCTGCCTGCTCATCATTTCTTATAGCACAATAGTATTCCATTATATTCACATACCACAACTTGTTCAGCAATTTCTCTCCTGTAATCTTAAAAATGACTAATTTCCAAACTCCTTAATAATTAATCTCCAAACTTCCAGAATCTGCTAAGATGTTTTTAGCAGTTCTACAACTTTGAGGGGCAGCTAGGTGGCACAGTGGATAGAGCACTGGCCCTGAAGTCAGGAAGACCTGAGTTCAAATCTGGCCTCAGACCAAACACTTGACACTTCCTATCTGTGTGACCCTGGGCAAGTCGCTTAACCCCAATTGCCTAAAATAAAATAAAATAAAAATAAAAACAAAATTTAAAAAATGGTCAGCAAAACCCTCAGATACAACTTTGATTACCTGACTTTATTTCTGTAATTTCAACTTGGGCCAGTGGTTGAAATGACACGAAAAAAAAAGTGTCTTATAGGTTTTTCTCATAACCTAATCTCCCATAGAAAGCCTAAAGTAAGGCTTTGCTTACTGGGGACAACCTGCTTCAGCTATGAAAGTTCCTCATCAATTTTTTCCAGTGTTCTGGCTGTAGTTCTAAGAAGTTTTTCTGGCTGGCTACATTTTAAATCTTTCAAGGTAACAGAATCTAGCTCACAGCACAAACATGACAGACATTCTGCATCTTACAAAGATACACAGACAAAATAAAAGACAAAAACAAACAACAAAGTGCACAGATCTTATTTTACCCAGTTGACACAAGACACACAGTGTAAGCAATTACCCAAACTAGAGGCTTATGCAATTTACAAAACCAATTGACAGAGGCATGAAGAAGGGCCAAATTACAGAGGTAAACCATTAGCTAACCAAACACCCTCTTAGCCTGCATGGGGAAACGGAAGCTGGACCAGTGGCAAGTAAAAGCTTGCTGGCTGGGGGGTGGGCACACTGGTACTGAAGTGTACAGAAAAACAGAAACACACAACAGCAAATTTACCAGAGCCGTGCAAAGAAACAGAGGTGTGCATAGGATATCCTTACCAGAACAGGGTCAAGGGAGGGACCCTGGGGTTTTCCTCTCAGAGAAAAGTGAACTCAAGTCAATGATGGAGTGGGAGTGAGAGTAGTGAACTTGTCAAAGGAGGCGGGGTTGGACTCCGTAGAAAACTCCAGTAGCACTTAGCCCATTTCCACTCATACAGGAGGGCTCCAGGCTTCACTTCCACATCCACCCATGAACTTCTGCCACCAATTAATGTCAGTAGAATTTTGAATGCAGGCCAGACTCAGCCAGTCTCTAACCTGGGAGTGGCCTGAGCTGAACAGAGCAGGTCAGAAGCAGGTGTGTCAGGACACAAAGTAGTGTTATAATTTATTTCAAAGTGAGAAAAAATGACTCGTAAGCAAGGAAGCTCCCCCTCCTGCGAAGGAGGGCTTAATATGTTGAGGTAAAGGCAATGCTTATATACATAAGTGGGCTGGACTATGGCATAATCATTCTTAGCCCTTGAGTAGCAGTTCCCCATGGCAGGCTCTTGTGTGAACAATGCAGGCATTCCTGGGTCCTGTGGGAACAGTCTCCAAGTTGATTGTCTCATAGTAGGGTACAGTATCTGGTTCGGTTCACTTAGCTGTTACAAGGAACAAGGATCATGAGCAAGTCAAGCTAGGTGATGGATGGCTCTCAGGTCCTTCGGAAAGAGGGGGCAGTGAACACCTGGTGCTTGGTCAAGGCAATACACTTTGCCAGAGGGTGAGATTATCCAGAGTGTAAAGGATTGTTGTTATGCCAAGCTCAGGGCACAGCCTGTTTGCTGGGCTTTAGCTCTAGGAAACATGATGTCTCCAAAATATTTCGACAGTGGATTGTTTGAAAGAATTAAGGATAATTTAGCTTGGAGCTGGGACAATAGGGACCCTTCAAGTACTTGAAAAACCATCAGTGAAAGAAGAATTAGATTTGTTCTAAATACCCCTAAGGTCCCTGCCAACGCTTAATACATGATTCTATGCATAAGAATCAAAGGATGAAAGCTTCCCAGAAGCAGAGTTTGGCTTGATTTAAGTAAAAATTTCATACTTATGAGCTTCTGAAGTAAAATTTTGTTCTTCTTTGTACCCCCTGTAGTGACTAACTCAGTGCCCTCCACATAATGATTGTTCAGTTGAGTCTGATTCTTCATGGTTTTCTTGGCAAAGATACTAGAATGGTTTGTCATTTTTTTCCTCCAGCCCATTTTACAGATGAGGAAACTGAGGAAAACAGGGCTAAGTGGCTTGCCCAGGGTCACACAGCTAAGTAAATATCTGAGGCCAGATTTGAACTCATGAGGATGAGTCTTCTTGATTCCCAGTGCTCTACCCATTGCAACACCTAGCTGCTCCAATATGCCATGGTAGAACTGCTATGAAACAGTTGTTGATTAATTGAATTCTCTTGAATCCACAGAATCACAGAGAAGAGACCAGGGCGCTAATCAGCTTCTCCTAGACTTCCTTCCCACTCTAGCACCTCTGGGGGGAGGTCTAGCTCCTCACTTCCTTGACATGGTCAGAATGGATAGAGGAGCTACCTTTGCAATCTTGCTCCTGGCTCTGCAGTTGGGTGAGTGATCATCCTTGAATTTGGGGGCTGGGGTGGCAGAGGAGCTGGGTCTCATTGATGGATCAGGGGAGGAAATAAAAGTCAGCAACCGGGCCTGCTTCTGGCCCTTACCTACTTCTTCTCAATCTCTGGGATCCAGTTCTGTTGCCTGCTATGACCAGAGGAAAGGAGTTGATACTGGGCGAGGCTGGGGGTATTGCCGAATTGCCTTGTAAGGCTTCAAAGAAAGAAAACATGGACTTTACCTGGAAACAACCGGACCAACTTGTGCTTCTCAAGGGTTTCAGAAAAAGTTCACCATCGAAGATGATAGGTAAGTGTAGCCCATGGCCTTGGGTTCCCCCCAAAACTTTGACCTTACACAGACTGGGTCTGATCCTGAGATCTAACTACCAAAAGGCTATTTTCCCTTTTAGCTCTCTGCCCCAACTTGGGGTTTCATCAGGAAAATCTACAAAATATAACCTACGAATAGGTTTCCCTAAATGCGGGCAATATTGTTCCCAGCTCCCAAAGTATTCACTGTAATAAATGCATATCATGTAGGACAGCCTTGATTTCATTCTATAGAAAATAGGATTCAAGGGTACAAAAGACTCACTGGAACACCGAAACATCTACATAAAATACATAAAGCACTCATAAAGGTTTCAACGTTTCACTGAGTGCCTCTTTAGCCCCTCTGGAGACCTTCTAAAGCCTTGGATTCCTGTGGAAGGGAAATGCATTTTAATGGTAACACTCCTTTCCATTGTCCAAATAATTCACCGTTAACAATGGAGATTGGCAAGGTCCAGATCTCTTGCCCCATCTCAGCCACCATTATGTAGCTTGAATACATCATTCAGGAATTCTACAGCAATTCTCTTCTTTCTCTAGAAGGTCCAATGACTGAATTCTCAAACTTGGGGTCACCCAGGATTCAATACCTAAGACCACTCCCTCTAAAATTAGTAGTGAGATCTTAATTTACAAATCTGATGGTCTTTTCTCAGTCTTCATCCATCTTGACCCTTACATTTGACACTAGTGACCACCCACTCTTCCTAGATACTCTTTCTTCTCTGAGTTTTCATGATACTATTCTGTCTTGGTTCTCCTCCTATCTATCTGACTACTCCTCAGTCTCCCTTGCTCTGGAACGATATCATTAGCACATCAGGCTCTAACTATTGATGTATTCCCAAGGTTTTCTACTAGGCCTTTTTATTATATCTCTGTATACACACATTCCGTGATTTCATCAACTTCTGAGAGGGCTTAATTATCCTCTCTATGTAGTTGACTTACCAATCTACAAATTTAACTGCAGTTTGTCTCTTAAGCCCTAGTCCGGTACTAACTGGATATCATAGAGACTTTTCAGCCTCAAAATGTCCAAAACAGAACTCATTATCTTTTCCCAAAAAAACACTGCTCATATTGAGCTTACTTTTTTTTTTATTAAGGATACCACCATTTTCCTAGTCTTCTAAGTTTGTAACTTCGACACTATTCTCAGTTCCTCTTTTCCCCTCATCCTGCATATCCAATAAGTTGCCAAATTTTGCCATTTCTACCTCTTCATCTTATGACTCTCATGAACATTTCTCTTTACTCACAGAGATCCTATTTTAATTCATATCCTCATTATCTCTTACCTAGATTGTAACAGCTTTCTAGTCTGTCTCCCATTCTTAGTTTTTTAAAATTAATTAATTAATTTTTAGTTTTCAACAATACTTCCATAAGCTTTTGAGTTTTAAAATTTTCTCCCCCTCCCTTCCCACCTCCCTCCCCAAGATGGCACGCAATCTGATATAGGCTCTACATATACATTCCTATTATACATATTTTCACATTAGTTGTGTTATAAGGAATAATTAGAAACAACAGGAGGAACCACAAGAAAGAAGAAACAAAACAGAACAGAAAGGAAAAAAAGAGCAAATGCTTCGATCTGCATTCAAGCTCCATAGTTCTTTCTCTGGACGTAGATAGCATTTTCTATCATGAGACTTTCAGAGATGTCTTACATCTTTGCATTGCTGAGAAGAGCTCAGTCTATCCAAGTTAGTCATCATACAATGTGGCTATTACTATGTACAACATTCTACTGGTTCTGCTCACTTCACTCATCATCAGTCATTCTCAGGTTTTTCCTGTTCCAATCGTCTTCCACATAGCTATCAAAGCCAGCTTCTATGTTACTTTCCTAACTCCAGCAACTGTAAATTTCTTTGTCTTTTAACACCCTTCACAACTTGGCCCCAACCCAGGGGTGGGGAATCTATGGCCTCCAGGTCACAAGTGGCCCTCTAGGTCCTCAAGTGTGGCCCTTTGACTGAATCCAAACTTCACAGAACATATCCCCTTAAAAGGATTCGTTCTGTAAAACATGGACTTAATCAAAAGGCTGCACCCAAGGACCTAGAAGGTCACACGTGGCCTCAAGGCCATAGGTTCCCCACTCCTGCCCCAACCTATCTTTCCAGTCTTATTAGACATTACTTCCTTTCCCACACTACTGTTCTCTCAGACTAGACTTTTCTGTGTTCCTCACTCAAGATGCTCTATTCTCCCATCTCTGGGTCTTTGTGCTAACTGGTCCCCATACTAGGAATACACCCTGTCCTCAGTTCTGTCTCAGAGAATCTCTAACTTCCTTTAAGACAGAACTCTGGCACTACCTTCTACCTTTTCTGATCCGTCCAGCTGCTAGTGCCTTCCCTCCCTCCCTAATGACTTTGTATTTAACAACTTACTGTTTGGTGTGTGTGTGTGTGTGTGTGTGTGTGTGTGTGTGTGTGTGCGTGCGTGTGTGTGTGTGTGTGTGTGTGTGTGTGTGTGTGTGTGTGTGTGTTCATTAGTTTCAGTCCTATCTGACTCTTTGTGACCCCATTTGGGGTTTTCTTGGTAAAGATACTGCAGTGGTTTGCCATTTTCTTTCTCATCTCATTCTACAAATGGGGAACTAAAGCAAACAGGTTAAGTGACTTGCTCAGAGTCATACAGCTAGTAAGTGTTTGAGGCCGGATTGGAACAAGAAGATGAGTCTTCCTCCTTCCCAGACCAGTGCTCTATCTACTATGCCACCTCTCTGCCCCATTTTTTTTTTGCATGTACTTATCATCTTTTCCATCCCAGAATATACGCTCCTTGAGATCAGCAACTGCTTCATTTTTGGTTTTTTATAATAATGCCAAGGTCAATGCTTAATAAAGTAGGTGCTTAATAAATATTTATTGATTGGCAATTGATTGATTTAATAAATAGAGATCTGTGAATAACTGACTTTTTTATTAATTGGGTAAAACCACAATTCTATCTATTAACCCTTCTTTTTGTAAGTATACGGGCAGAAGATTGGAAAGAGTCTTTTTTACTGATCCCAGATATATTTTATTTTTTCAGTGAGCATTGTGTTTGCCTTTTTCTCATTAAAAACAGTTTAGAAAAACATCATATTAATTGGATTTTGGATAATCTTTTATATAAACATATATGTAATATATACACATATACATATGTACAAATAAGCACTTACATATATTTGTATTTTTGATAGGATCTATGATTGCATTGATACTTTGAGTTCCTAATGAAGAACTTTCTCTACCAATGGAGGTAGATATCTGCTCTGCAACTTCTAGTCTTAGTGAGTGACTTGGGATGCTAAGTAGTTAGATGCCAGTCACACAGCCAATATTTGTCAGAGGCAACACTTGACCCAGTTCTTCCTCAATCTAAGGCCAGATCTCTATCCACCATACCACACTGACTCTCATTTAACATGTACCAGAACCCCCAGATAAATTAAAGGCAGTTTTTTTTCTTGTTACAAAATTATTAATATGCACAACTTTTCATATATTGTATGAAACAAGGAAGGCATGAAGTCTGTCTTAGGGAACTTAGAGGCTCATGGAGTTATCTTTCTGTTCATATCACTCTGTTCCTCAAAATAACTCTGGCAAACAACCTCCCTGACTAACTGATTCTGATTTCATTATTACTCTGAGTCACCTTGTATATATTTCCATAGCTTTCGTTATTTGTTAAAGTCCATGACAATGACAATTCCAAGGAATTCTATTTCATTTGCTATACTAGAATTATTCTCAAGCTGAATACTGCTTGAAATGTAGGATTGCCAAATGAAAGTTTACAAGTCTATGTTAGAAAGATTTTTATTTGTTGTGGTGGAATTTCACAGCAATTTCGGATCAGTACTGATCTCTCTTTGGCCATTCACTTAACATCTCAGTGCTCTAGGCAGGTATCTAAATATAAGTTGAAGAGTAGCTCCTTGCTAGCAGTCCCCTATGCAGATGAAATTGAAATTCCAATGGAAAAAAAGTCTCTATGAGCCAGAATAGCACTTTATTTTAACTTTTCCCTAAAAGGTTGTTGGCCTCTCAGGTTCTTTCTAGCTATGACCCCATGATCCTAAGGTAATGAGGATCCTCAGGTACACATTCACCCCCACCGCCCCATCTACTGTATTAGAGCCAGGTCACAGGCTCAACACCATGAATTTTCTATGGGATATTCATAAGATTTCTAGGAGACAAGAACTTCCTTCTGGTCAACCAGCACCCAGATCCAGAAGTACCTAATCTCTTGAATTCCTGAAGTACCTAATCTCTTGAATTCCTTGAATTCCAAGGCTAGATCATAAAACCCAGGGGTTATGACTTCCATTTCATTTACTCCTTGTTCTATTGCTGCTGCTGCTGCTGCTGCTACTATCACTACCACCACAATTATAGGTCTCTAATATTTGAGAGGCAGATTCAATTATTATCCCCATTTTATTGACATGGAAAACTGATGTTCAGAGAAATAAATGTCTGGATCACAGCCAGGCAGTTTTTGCCCATTTGGCAAAGTCCACTTGGGCCAAAATTCAACATGTGTAATAATCCCTCATCCATAGGACAACTCCCCAGATACCTGAAAATAGCTACCATGTTCCCCCCAATCAGGTCTTCTCTTATCCAGGCTAAATGAACATTCTTAGCTCTTTAAATTTATCCTTGTATTGGCCATATCCTTTGCCATGGTTTTGAATCCCCCTTATAATACTGGTTGCCCTCTTCCTGCCTTCCTCTGTAGAAACTTGTTAATGTCTTTCCTTATTTTATGCCCATAAGGAAACACAATACTCTGGATGGAGTCTGACCAAGGCAAAGTACTTCAGAATGGACTATCACTTCTCTCATTTTGGATACTAGGCCTTCATTGATGCAGACTAAATTCAAATGAGCCTTTTTGGTTGCCATATCGGTAACATCATTGACAATACCACATTATTAACTCAGACTGGGCCCCATGTT